GTAAGCACTTGCAAAAGGATCTGTATCTGTTTTTTAATAAACAAAGAATGCCAGAAGTAAAATAGACAAGTAGTCAAGAAAAAGTATCTTAAAAGCATTTATCTTTGATTTTGATTTTTTTAAGTCTAGAAAAAGCCATGTAGAAATACATATTGAGACAGTGCAATATATTATACATATTGTTGTACTAAGGATATGTGTTAACAAGAGAAATTTGTGGATGTTTATCCCATGGAATATTTTTAACTTGTGTTTATATAGATGTTCAAGAATCATGTGAAAGTGTTATTTTAGTACATGAAATTAAATACGGTCATCAATGTAAATTTTCTTATGAGATGATTGATGCAGCCTTCACATACAGCAATTGCTAACTGTTCTTATTATAAGCAGAATGCAATGTTCTCATTCCTGAATAGGGAAAGATAATACTACTGTTTTTCCCCTCCTTTTTTCTGTGTTATTTTGAATACAGACGGTACTGCAGGGACACCAGCAATATCAACAACGACAACTGTGGAAATTCGCAAAAGCAGTATCATGACAACTGAGATCACCTCTAAAGTGGAAAAAAGCCCCACGACAGCCACTGGCAATAGCTCATGTCCTTCTACTGAGACCGAGGAAGAAAAGGCAAAACGGCTTCTTTACTGTTCTCTATGCAAGGTTGCTGTCAACTCCACCTCGCAGCTGGAGGCACACAACAGTGGTGAGATGCAGCGATTTCTTTTTTGTTTCTACAGCTCTGCAATTATCTTCCTCTGAATAGATTAGATCTTTTGCAGCAGGGGACAAAGAGGTGGAGGGAAACTGGCAATTATTACATGGAAATCATTAACCATTAAAAAATACAAATGACAAGCAAAGTGTCATTTATATAGGGGTAAGGGGTAGCTTCCAAGGCTTGCAGGCCATGGGGTGTGGGGGTGTGTGTGTGTGTGTGTGTGTGTGTGTGTGTGTATGTGTGTGTGTGTTTTATTAAACATTAGGATACAAAATGAAATATAATCCTAAAATATGTTTTGTATTTATATGATTTCTAGTTTGTTTATTTATTTCCATGTATTTGCATCTAAATGACATTTTCTAAAACTGTACCCATAAGATTTTTGCAAAATGTGTAGTTGCATCACTCTAGGCACCTTTGGTTAAGACCCATCTCTCTTGATTTTTTACCTAAATATAATGTTATTTGAGCTAAATCTATGGGACCTGGACAATTAAGAAACTTTTTATTGTGTGCAACAATTCAGATGTGATTTCTGAATATACTTTTTTTATTTAATCTTTCTAACAACTTTGCAA